GTAGGAGAGTGGGGGAACCCAGGGTTCAGGGGAAGGCTGGTGTGAGTCAAGAGCAAGGTCAGTTCACAGGAAGGGGAAGAAAGAAAGGGTAGGTAAATCCACTGGGTACTATATATAGTGAACATTCTCCATTGGCTTCTTCCCTTTTCTCAGTGAAAGAGGAAGAAATGTTACAACAGGAGAGAGAGAGAGAGAGAGCAGAGGAAGAGGAGTAGGGAGCTGAGGAGAAGAGGTGAGTGGGAGTAGAAATTATACATCTAAATGCCAGCAACACTGCAGTCCCTTCTGCTCTTCAGGACGATGAGCTGAAAGTGAGACCAATTGGTGTGATTCAGTGATTTTTCTTTGTCACATGCCAGCTAGGCAAGTGCAGTGGGCTCTGGGGTGGCATTCCTGGTGGCATCCTTTGTGGCAGAGTTCCCCAATGCCTGGCTCTCAGTGTCTACCACCAGCCACCCTCTCCTAAAAGTGATCAGGACCCTTCATGGAGGGGGTGCTTCACCCCCACAGATGACAAGTCATCCTGTCATTTCAAGGCAGGGAGATGATCCACCATCAGGGAAGTCACATTACTAAGCCCTCTCTCCTCCCAACTCCCTTTGTCCCACCACAAAGAGCCACTGACTGGGCAGATTCTATAGTTCAGAGCTCCACAGCTCATAAACTCCATGGTTCTAGTGGCCGCAAGGCTGAGACCAGCGTGCAAGCAGGTCAGTCTCCCATGCAGTCCTCTGCCCGGCCTACAGATGCCACCTTTTCACTGACTCCTCACCAGGGAGCAAGCCCTCTGGAGTTTCTGTTCATGAAGACATGAATTCCATTATGGTAAGTCTATGCTTGATGTTTTGATAAACTGTACACAGCCTCACAGATGTATCTTACACTGTGTAACTGGCTCTATGTGCATGTGTGACATAGAACCCACTCTTGACCTCTAACTAGGACCTCAACTTCAGATCCAAGATCACGATCACGATCATCCTGTTGTTCATCGATTGCCTCAAGCTGGCACTAGTAACGTCTTCTTTGCCCTAGCCCTGAGATTTTAAAAAGTGCCATATTCAAGACTCTTTCAGGGTTAGGAGAATGAGACCCATCATTGTTACCGGTATTTGGCATATTGGGTACACCACGGGGAGTTTGTCAGACTCTGCGGTGTGGACAGTTCACATTCGGTAGCTTGCCAGGTTGTCCAAAGTAAGAATGAGATACTAAGATGTTGCGGGGGCAGGAGATTCTTCCAGGAGCTGGGTTTTATAGTCTCTGGGTCTTGGCCATTGATGGGATTACACAGTGCTGGGGTGGGGAGGGGTGGGGGGGTGGGGGGGAAGTTGGTGGATGTGACCCCTGCAAAACTCACATCTCTTTTGCTGGCATAGAAAAAATAAAAACCCTCCTTCCCAGTCAGTCCCCAGTAAGGGGGCCTCCTGCCACCATTGGCAGTACAGGGGCAGTAGCTAATGGGCATCAGCGCAGAGCCCCAACCTGCACTCATGCCTGAGGACTTCATGTCACTAGAAGATCCCATTTCTGGACAACCAGAGCAGGCTGGTAACTGTGGTTATAATTACACAAGCACTGGCCTCAAAGAAAAGTGACCTCAAAGAGTCCTGGGGAGTTGGGAACCAGATTAATTCTTGTTTTGTTTCAGGACATGTTAATATTCTTGTGTGTGGGTGAGTTTTTTGTGAGGCTACACTTGGTATTGATCTTAGCTTGGTATTCAGGGATACTTGATGCTAGTTACACCTCTTCCCCCCCCCCCCATATTACATAAAAAATGAATTTGCTGTCAGGTGAATAATGTACATGGAGCAATTCCACTGAATTTCACTTACCTGTCCCCACTCACTGTATTCACAGTGGCTATTACAATAGCCACAATATTGCCCCACTGGTGGTTGGACTGTTTATTATTAAAAAAATTGGTTCCCTTTTTCCTAATATTAGAAATAGTAGTATTATACTTTTTTTTTCATTTGAACCATTTCATTGTAATATTACCTCTAAAGTGGAATTTGTTGGCTGCAAAGTATATACAAAATTATAGTTCCCTTGTTTTCTTTCTTCATGTAAATCTCCCCAAAGATTGCTTCATTGTGCATTCTCTACAGTGGGGTCTCTCTGTGTGAACACATCATTTCCCCTATCAGCTCTGGGGTTGGTCAATTTTGTGAACTTGTATCTATTTTTCTTACATAATGAACGTATAGCAAATACAATCCTAGGTATTATCTTTACATTTGCTTAATTGCTAAAGAGAATGAGTAAAGTCCTTGTCCTAATAAAAAACTCACAAAAAGTAAAATTACCACTTCAATCGTTTAAAAAAAAACGTTTCCGTTAGTTCTTTTCCATCTAGGTTCTGGGGGGTCAGGGCAGCTGCGGCTGCCGCAGATACAGAGTCAGCCCAGAACCCTGCAGGCTGCCCGTTAATTATCAGCGGTACGAGAACTCTCAAAAGAATGAAGTCACATTATCTCCTGGCCGCAAACTGAAACCACTGCAGAAGCCAACCAACCAACAAACAACAAAACAGCCCGCTTTCCTGGCACGGGTTGTGGAGATCCTGTGTGGATGCTCTTTGATCTTCTGCGGAGACTCCGTGCGGACTGGCAGTAAGGTCCCCGGCGCTGGGACGCACCAGAAGAGCGTGCGCCAGGTACCCACTAGATGGCGCCCCCCAATAACAAATGCGGACCACAGGCTTCTTTCTGTCTGCACATCGCCTGCGCAGCAGCGTATTCTGGCCAATTTACCTCCAAGCCAGACTTCTCAAAAATAAATAAACAAATGACTAAATAAATAAATAAAAATGAAAAAAGACAAAGAAAGAGAAGTTCATTCTAGCTAAAAACACACCATCTGCCTGTGAAAATTCTCGGTTGGTAGAGCCACATCAACACCCAAGACAGGTTAATAACCGGCCCTGAGCAGATGGTTTCTTTTTGATAATTGCTGGTTTCTCCCACCAAGTCTTCCTCTCTGAAGCCCCTCACCCTGCTTTCTAGACCATTTCCAACCTGTCCACCTGCTTGCCATCGCCCCGCCGGTCACAGGTGGGGTCATGCGGCAGAGAGCCACGGCGGTGTCCACATGACTCAGTACCCTCAGAAAATGTTTAAGACACTATCAGTCTATTTCTTGGTGAGCGTGTAACGGGATGTGTACCCCCAAGCCCTGTTTTCGGAGAGTACTAATTTATTACTACTGACTGGAAAGAATATGACCAAATACAATAGTTGTTAAAAATATTGCATACTTTTGAATCCAACAACTTCACTATGTAGACTCTATCCTAAAGACGACCATTTTCCAAATTGTGAACAGTATATTCATTAAAAAAAAAAGTCCACTGCTGCATCATAACAATAAAAAACATAAAAAGAAAAACATACCAGGGAACTAATTATGTTACAGAATATTATACAACCTTTTTACGTACGCTTACAAGGAATTTAAAAATCTCATACACCACGTTATTTAATGTTTGTTGGTAAAATGCTCAAAGAGGTCGAACAAGAATGCAATCACAAAAGAAATAAATATACATAATAAAAGATCCTATAGTAGGAAATCTTTCTCTCCTGCTGTCTGGAGAGAAATGTTTTGTGCCAGTCTGGTATATATATATATATATATATATATATATATATATATATATACATATACATTTATATACATATATATTCAAAAATAGCACTGTAGCACTTGTCCCATTGTTCATCGATTTGCTCGAGCGGGCACCAGTAACATCTCACAACAAATTGTAAGAATTATTACTATTTTTGGCATACTGGATACATCATGGGTAGCTTGCCAGGCTTTGCTGTGCAGGTGAGATACTCTCGGTAGCTTGCCGGGCTCTCTGGGAGGGGGGGGAGGAATCGAACCCAGGTTGACTGCGTGCAAGACAAATGCCCTACCCGCTGTGCTATTGCTCCAGTCCATATTCAAAAATATATGAACAAAATTTTTACTAAGAAGATCTACAGCTAAACCCCCAGAAAAAAAGAGAGTCTGAGGGGAAATCACAGGAAGGTCTGCAGCACCAGGGCAAGACAGAGCGCACAGTCTCACTCCCCCAGGACGCACTGCCCGACAGTAACGCTTGTCCAATGAGGACGCAGCTGTGTTTTCTCTCCCTGTGCCAGAATGCAGATGGCTTCAGGAGAGGGGGCACACCTGGATCAGGGGATGGCAGAGTAGCATCCACCACACAGGAATTAATGAGCAGCCGGGTCATCTCAATAGGGGTCTATTGCCGCCTTGATTTTCTCAAGAGCATCAGTTCTAGTCAGTCTCAGAATTTGCTGTTCAAAATGAAAAGTGAAGCACTGAATCCAAACCCTGCCTTTCCGGTTGCATTTCTGTGCTACCCACTCATCATGATTTTAAATGCTTTACCAATAGTGCTCTGTATTTATAAAAAAAAAAAAAGGGCAGCACTAAAGCCCACTAAACTTTTTTTTCTCTTTTTAAATGGGGAGGACAACAAACCCTAAATTTGGGTTTTTTAGTTCAAGGGAGCACATGAAGACTTTATTTGGCAGGAGTAGCTGAAATGATCAGTTCAATAAGTAAAACTACTCATTCGACACACATAGAAAAACCCCTTTCTCATCCCTACCCCAACCCACCCAGTCAGGCAGCGCATGGACGCTCAGGGGGTTTCCTCAGTGCGTGGAGGGGGACACGAGCCCCTGCGAGAGGAGGCCACTGGGCAGCCATTCTTCTGAGCACTTATCATCTCTCCTTATCACTGTGGGCTCTAGTTCACTGACATTGTCTTGACACACTGGATAGGAACATCCCCCAGCCCACCAGCCTCCTCTGTGGAGAGCCCTGGGTCTGAGGGAGGGGCAGGCTGTGGAGAGTGGAAGGTGAGGGAGAAGGGAACTGCCTCTAATTCCTCAAAGCCACAAATCTGGTTCCTTCCTTTTTTTGTTCATGCCTAGAACTCAGAGGTGCTTTACACAGAACACGTTGGAAAAGGTCTGTTCCGGAAAAAAAAAAAAAAGTTTATTATCATTTGATGACATATTGAGCAAGATGTGGTTCCAAAAGCAAGTGGATAAAGGGAGAAATTTTAGGGTGGGAACATTTCTTAGTGTTTCTGATCCTGACTACCCGTAGAATGTTCTAGATTTAAAAACAAGCGCCACACGGACAGAGGGAGAGAGGGCGCACCCAGGCCTGCATGGGTGGGAGAAGGGGCTGAGCACATTTGACGGCTCCTCCCTGAGGCCTGCTGGGAATCTCCGAGCCAGGAGGGGGCCCTGTCCCAGAGGTAGAAGTGACTCCAGCTGGGACCACTCCGAGGTCCGAAGAATTCAGGCCCTGCATGGGAAGCCTGTGGTACAACAGCGAACCTGACTGGTCAGGTTATTCTCCCAGAGGGAGAAGGCTGACCTGGTGACCTTCTCTGCCTCCTATTTGAGGGGAGTAGCTTCACAAAACCAAGGCACTGCAATAGCCATCCACCATCCGTCGTGCAGAGGCCAGCAAACACATCTTCAGGATAATTTCCAAGCCTGATTCAGCACGGCAGAAGCCCCTTAGGCAGGCGACTGCATTCACATTTCCAGCCTGAGACTCCCCTAACTCCCAGGCCCCTCTCTGCGTTAGGAGAGCCCCACTTCCCGGGAGGAGCGGCCCTAGTCATCGTACTGAATCTCAGCCTGGAGCTCCTTGCTGACGTAGTTCACCAGCATGGCTAGCAGCTGCTGCTGCAGCATCTCACTGCCCATGACCAGCGTGGTCAGCTGCACGGCATCAGTCCAATCCAGGTGCCTGACGATGGCCGAGGCTTCGTTAAAGAGCTTCTGCTGCTCAGATGGTGGCAGCTCCATTAAGATCTGAGGAATTGGCTTAAACTGTCCACTGGTCATCCAGGCACCTAATAGGCCCCCGACGGCGCCCCCTAGGGAACAAGAAAAGGTCTTTTAGTTGAGCCTTGTCATAAATAAGGGTCTCGGTTTTTGCTGAGAGCAGGCCCGTGCTCCTGACCAGTGGGAACATTCAGGAGGGGTTCAAACAGGCACAGTTTCAGACCTACTCCTCCAGCCAGCATGCAGAGCAGAGGTGAATGTGGCTTTTGCTCCATTTGGCTCAGATCATTCCCACCCGAGCACGTCCATCCCTAAGCGCCACATTCACAAAGGGCACGCAAAGAGTTTCCCACCTCAGACCCTCTCACTGGACTCCTCCAGGAACCCTCTTGACCTAAGGCCCAGCCTGAGAGCACAGGCGTCCAAGGACAGAGCCTGCCGGGTGGTGAGGCGGAGTTCCTCTCATCAAGTAGCTAACGTGCTCCCTGACCCTTTCGAAAACCTCTAGTGAAATCACATAGATATGGGACCCTGGGGACAGATATGCAATGTTTTTCATTTATCTGCTCCAAAGTTGTATGATGATAAACAACGAAGAAAAGCAAGCATTTTTTTTTTTAAGTGTGCTCAAACTTATTACATAGTATTTCAGAACCTGCAGCCCTTGTGTCCATCAAATCAGACTGGAGCACAATCTACTGCAGGAAGGTACCCTGGACAGAGTCTTACTCAAGTGCCATCAGGGGCCTGGAGGAACCAGAAAGACACAGAGTGGGCAGGTGGTGACGTGGTGGTGACATGAGAGTCCTGTCTACAGAGCCAGTGGCTTCCCCTTGCCAGCCAACTGGGTAACCATACAGAGTCCTAGCTCTGCAAAGTGCCATGGTTTTAAAATAACAGTAATCAGATATATAAATGCTGATGACTGGGAAGAACACAGCAGGGAAGAGAAGCAGCTTGACGGTGAGGCTGCCCATGGGGAGCCTCCTGAGGACTGTAAGTGTCATGAACCCTGCAATGATGCAATGAGAAGTCCCCCTCTGCTGTACTCTTTCCAAAGAGCCAGAATTCGGGGCTGGAGCAATAGCACAGCGGGTAGGGTGTTTGCCTTGCACGCGGCCGACCCAGGTTCAATTCCCAGCATCCCATATGGTCCCCCGAGCACTGCCAGGAGTTATTCTTGAGTGCAGAGCCAGGAGTAACCCCTGTGCATCACCGGGTGACCCAAAAGGCAAAAAAAGAAAATAAAATAGTCTATCTGAAAGCATGCAGCCTGAGTCCCTGAAAGTCCATCTGCAGGGAGGGTCACCTGCGGGAGCCAGGAAGGCCACACAGGCTAGCCCCAGGCCAGCCGCGGAACCTGCCCCCACAAGCTCCCTCCTGCACTAGGGGAAAATGAGGGTCTGGGAGAAAAACCCAGTAATTTATGAGTTTTCCTGAACTTTTCCCCAGGACACTAGTGAAACACTTAGCACCAACAAGAGTTGCATTCATCTGCACTAAACCTTTACGAGAACATCAATATTTGATTTAAAGCAGCACTTAATGCAAAATATCACCAGACATATCGACCAGCCAATTACTAACTCTTGGGAGAAAAATGAAAATTCCTTTGTTTTCTTGGTAAAATGATGCTGCTGCCCATGACCAGGGGTTGTGAGTTCTCCTTGCAGACACACTTGTATTTCTCCCATTTCTATTCATCTAGATAAAATACATGCTCCCAAAATGGAATCTAGGGACTGCTGGAAGGTCAGTGACACCAGCAAGCCCTCCCTGTGTACAAAAGATGAATGGGACAAAGATAATGTGCATCCCAAGGGAGAGGGCAGTGGCCTCGGCCTGGTCTTCTCCCTGGCTGGCTAAAAGCTGAAGACAAGACTCACCCATTCACAGTATGGAAGGAACTATTGTAAGGGTGCTGTCAATTCTGCCCACAGAGGGAAGAACAGAGCAGGAGGGCTTGCCAGGGAACAGGGGAACCAGCATTCTACAGAAGGACTTCCCCAGATTCTGAGCACTGGGCTGCTGAGCACAGAGAAGGCAGTTAGTGAGTGGATAATGAGAACATGGGAAATCTGCCTTCAGCAGATATCCTGGTAGCACAGGGGCCATCTGGGGCCATCTCAAAGGTGACCTTACCTACCTGGGCCTTCCCCCCTTCAGGCCCCAAGTTAGGGGGGGGGCAGCTTTTTTTTTTTGTAAGGTAGATAAAGGGGTCACTCCTGGCTTTGCACTCAGGAATTACTCCTGGCAATGCTCAGGGGACCCTATGGGATGCTGGGAATCGAACCTGGGTTGGTCATGTGTATGGCAAATGCCCTACCACTGTACTATAGCTGTAGTCCCAGGGGCCAGCTCTTTGGCATGACTCTTGCCTTACGATTCGGGCCACAGCCCTAAGACAGGTAGATCTTCCAGGGCCTAGCACGCAGGAATTCTTTCTGCTTCTAACACACAAAAACAGAAACGTTATCAAGCTCCAAGGAATGATGGGGCCATTAGCCAAAATACCAAAAACAAGTTCCCAAGTTGAAGGAGGCAAGTAGAAGAGGTGTTGGGGGGGAGGGTAAGGGGAGGTAGCAGGGCGGGGGGAGGAAGGAGGATAGCCATTCTAGAAGGGTCTGCTGTTCTTCTACATTGGACTGTTTGCTGTCTGACAGGAGAGATTGAATAATCTGGCTTGTGTGTACCAGTCAGAAAGAATCTACTTCTAGAAATGTGCTGGACAAGTCTTACTTCCGCATTCTCTTCTGAAGTGGCAAGGAAGGGTTGACAGGAGAGGGAGGGCTGCCATCTGGGGAGTGGGGGAGGGTGGTCCTCCAGGGTTGCATGGCATAAGAGCACAACATTGTACTCCCAGGACACGGGAGTGAGCTGCTACTGAGAGGAGCGTCAATGTTAACAGGACAAATGATGGACCCACAATCTCTTCACAGAGGCATGTGGCTCCACCTGATGAAGTCTCTGCCGCTTTGAAGGCCTGTTTAGGACCCCCTCTCCCTCCCCCGCTCCTCCCCCACCTCCCGTCCAAGAGTCTGGATATCCCTCAAGGTGCCTGCACTTACCAACAGCTAGTCCTGGTGGGCCACCAACCAAACCGCCAACAAAGGCCACAGCCCCCGTGACCAGGGCGCCCCGCCCAGAGTGCTTCACAGCCGCCTTCATTTTCCTCTTCTCAGAAATGGAGCAGAGCAGTTTCATCATCTCTCCCACCAGGAGGGGCATCTCAGAAGCTTCAAGGAACCCAAAGGCAAAGCAGCGTTAGAGTAATTTCTTAGGCAGAGAAAGTTCTTCCTCAAGCTTTAGGTCCTCCACTTTCAGCAGAGAATAGCACGGCCAACACCCAGTCAGGTGACAAGTTGTCACAGAGAAAGAAGGCAGGGTCAGCAGAGGGAGCAGAAGGCCTTCTCTGCCCTCTGACTAATTTGTAATTCCTAACAGTTACAGCAACAGCGCTTGCCATTTGCTCCAGTGATAAGCCACCCGGTCCGTCTGACCCCTGCATCAGTGGCCTTTCCACTGGCACAAGCATACCGTCACACACAGCCTGGCAGAGCCTGGAAATTCTCACAGGTTCTGGGTGATAGGGCTTCCCAGCTCAAGCCAAGCCAGAGAGAGGGAAAGTACAGGTCTTTGCCACCACATTGGTCCGGTGCAGTGTCCGATTCTGCGTCCAGAAGAGAGACAAACCACCAACATGCTGGATTCCTGGGAAGTGTCAGGGTAGGAGCATAGAGGACTCTTAGTCTGCCCATTCGCCTCTGAGTGACTCTAGCCACGCATCAGACAGGAAACACTGCATGATGCAACCAATGAACTCACCAGAGAATAAAGGAAACCCAAGAAGTCATACACGTATGTGGATGTGGAAGAAGATAGGTGGAACAGTGACCTTTAGAACAAGTCTCTGGGGTCAGGAAATTGCCACACTGGCAAGAAAATGGCAAGCAGGGAGGAGACAGGGCGGGTGCAGGAAGAGGACCAGTATTGGCAGGGAAAGGGGGCGGGGCCAGCTGTGTCCAGAATCCCCAGGAAGGTCCCTCACGGGTTTAGAAAGTGAAACCAAAGTGGTCCCGAGCTTCTCCTCCAGCCTAGCTGGACCCAAGGCCCAGGAACATTTTTTTTTTCTTCCCCAGCTGCTTTTAAACCTGAAAAGATTTGATTGAGAAAGGCAAAAAGGGCAAATTACTGTTCAGTAACTTTTGTTCATTTGAGGTTTTTTTTTGGACCCCAAAATAATCTAGAGTAAAGCTTAATGTCAAAGTATCCTCCAGTTCTGAGAGTTTTAACCCCTGCCTAATTATCTCATTTGTCACGTTTCCAGCGCTTCTCTATAATCCCAAGGAAGGTAAGCCCGTCACATGCTCTCGGCCCTGTAGCTTTTGTCCTCTATTTCTTTTTTTTTTTTTCTTTTTGGGTCACACCCGGTGAAGCACAGGGGTTACTCCTGGCTCTGCACTCAGGAGTTACCCCTCGTTGTGCTCAGGGGACCATATGGGATGCTGGGAATCAAACCCGGATCAACTGTGTGCAAGGCAAACGCCCTACCCGCTGTGCTATTGCTCCAGCCCCTATTTCTTGTCTTGATATCAGCAATCCGAGCAGGCTTGGAGATCTCAACCCCAGGTCCCGCATGCCTGGGTTCCTCTGCCGGTTCCTTCATGTGTGAGGCTCATCCGAACGTGTGGAGAGTGGTCTTAAGCATAGCTGTGGCTGGTTCCGGAGGTCTTTGGCTGCTGGAGATCTATTCGGGGTGGGGAGGAAAACTCAACCCGCCCCCTCCAAGGGGCCCTGGTGAGGACAGCCAGGCGTGGGGGCAGGAGAGTCTGTGCTATTCTCTTCTGGGAGCTGGGTTTTTACAGTCTCTGGGAGCTGAGATCTCCAAGCCTGCTCAGATCGGGACTGGGCCTCCTCCACCCAGATCCCCCATCTTCTAGTAGGTAGGCGTTACACCCACCAACTGCCCCCGGCGCCATGTTATCCCATCAACAGCCAAGACCCAGAGACTATAAAACCTAGCTCCTGGAAGCGCACCGCCACATCTGCAGCTGTGCGACATCTTATTATCTAGTTCTTACTCTTGGAGAACCCGGCAGGCTACCGAGAGTATTCTGCCCACACGTCAGAGTCTAGCAAACTCCCCATGGCGTATATGATATGCCAAAACCCAGTAACAATGATGGGTTGGTCTCATTCCCCTGACCCTGAAAGAGCCTTGAATGCTGCACTTTCTAAAATCTCAGGGCTAGGACAAAGGAGTTACTGGTGCCTGCTCAAGGAAGTCGGTGATCAATAGGATGGCAGTGATACAGTGATACAGTGATATCAGCAATCACAAACACAGACAGGAAGAAGGCCTTGTAAACACATAGGGAGATTCTGTATCTGGGTGGGTGGAGTAGGGGTGGAACAGGTTGCTTGGGGACAATACCCGGAAATTCTCATGGCTTACTCCTAGCTCGGTACTTGGAGGTCACTCTTGTCCATCCTGGAGGCCCTTATGCAATACTGGGGATCAAATCTGGGATGGCCAAAGGCAAGGCAAGCACCTTCACGCCTGTACTATCTTTCCAGACCAGGATTCTGCATTTCTAATAAGCCCCCTTGTTAGACTCATTTAAGGCTCCGGAAGAGCTTGACTTCAGGATATCTGATGCTGGTTACTCACTCTTCAAGTTCAGAAATTACAAACAGGAGGCACACTCCTGTGTCTGTTTGACCAGATAGGGCCTAAGAGGCAGAGGACAGATAGCCCTGCTGGCTGCCCATGAACTGCAGGAAAGCTTGGGTCTGTTCCTGCTCTGCTCCCAGGTGGTCTGGATGGACCCCAACATCTGCTGGCTTCCAAACCCCTCTGCTCACCTGTGGTGACCTCCTGAAGCAGCAGGACAGCAAAGGACTCCTCTTTCTTGAAAGGGAAAACCCAAGGGATGGAGTGATAGCACAGCGGGTAGGATGTTTGCCTTGCACGCAGCAGACCCGGTTCGATTCCCATCATCCCATATGGTCTCTCGAGTACCACCAGGAGTAATTCCTGAGTGCATGAGCCAGGAGTAAGCCCTGTGCAGCACCGAGTGTGACCCAAAAAGCAAAATAAAAGGAAGGAAGGAAGGAAGGAAGAGAGAGAGAGAGAGAGAGAGAGAGAGAGAGAGAGAGAGAGAGAAAGGGAAAGCCCCTTTCACTCCTCTGGAAGCCAAAACTTGTCTCAACATAAATGTCACTATAGTAAAATCACCTGACAGCAACGGGACTGCACTGGGCAGGGCCCACTCAGACATGGGAGTGACTGAAAATCTATTCTTGCAGAACAAAAATCATTCCATGTATATTACAGCAAGAAAACCAAAGGAATGAAGTTTGTGGTACAATCTTTCAATACGCTTTTGTAGACACATGCCTACAAAAACAGCTAATCCACTGCGAAGTTACCTCCGGTTCTTCCCCAGCTTTTCACCTGTCACTGGAAGGGAAAACCCATAAGAATGGAGGCAGCTTCCTGTTCTCAAGTCACAAAGACCCTGGGCCTCACCAGGCTTGATCCGCACAGCTGCCTGCCAGGCCTTGCACTCTGCACACCACTCTAAAGCAAGGTGCCTATCCAACATGAACCTGCACTCTCAAAACAGTTTCTGCACAGCAAGAAAGCACAGGTAAAAAGCAGGAAATAGGTATATACCCACTTCACCTTCTATTGTCTGCTAAACACAACCCCAGCTTCTAAGCTGCTCTGAATGACTCTAAGTTGAAACCCACAGGGGCTAATGAGGCATCATTGTGCAAATGCTACTTCTAACCTCCACTTAGTCCAGGCAGACCAGTGCGAGGCTCAAGCTCTGGGCTCTGCAGACCCACAGGGCCAGCAGGTGCCACTGCGTGCGGGAAGGCAGGGAGAAGAAGTGGCCTGACTCCAACTGAGTCCAATAGTTCTACCCCGCAGGCAGACACCTCATTGTGGCTGCCGGATGCAAGAGGAAGCTGGTTTAATTTCCTAGCAAGAATCATTTTTAGAAGTTGGGCATCAATAGGCTAGTTGTGAAACAAAGGTCTGTAACCCCATCTCCTGAGCCCCGCTACAAAGCTCTCCTCCTGCCTTCCTCCAGAAAAAAAACAGGCCCGCATCTCTTTCTCCCACTCTTTGTCTGCAGGACATAGGTTGGCAAACAAGGAGGGAGGTGCAGGGATCACTCCAAAGAGGACAGACCTCACAGGAGTGGACGTAGACCCCCACTTATTTCGGAAGCAGGTTTGAGGGCACCAAAGGATGATGCTCACAGGAAGCCCATCTGCCAGGCGCAGGGGAGACAAAGGTAAATCTGAACTCTCCGTGTTTCACAACCATGCATGCTGGTCTGCAGGTGACAGCAGGGGCCTGGGGGAGGGGCAGCACCACTGTGATTGCAGAGTGAGGTCCTCTGCCTCCCCTGTTCTGAAAACTACTGTAAGTGGACTTGTTCCCAACGCCTCAGTACTTTCTTCTCTGGTGGGTTTACAAACCCCCACGTGCCCTGACTTGGCTTCCCAGCTGTCCTGGACCTAGCAAAAGTCACGGGGGGGGGGGGGGGGGGGGGGGGGGGGACGGACGGACACCAGCAAACACCCCAACCTCTTGTCAAGGTTTCTGGTACGGGAAGGTTAGGGGAGTTCACTCACCCTTCAGATCCTTGACTTCTCTAGAATATTCTGAAGAGCAAGACAGTAGACCTGGTTTGCTCAGCAAACACAGCCCTCTCCTGCATGGGCCCCCAGGGGCCCCTACCAAAGATCACCTCGTAAACAGCCTTGCACAGTTTCTGTTTCCTTTTCCTTTTCTCAAAGGCTGAAAGCACCAGCAGCCCCCCCAAACTAACCACCTCCCAAATGAGCATCCTTCTCTAACCATTTTTAGACACGATCCCCTGGTCCACTTTGGACAAGGCCATGTGGGCCAATACCCGGCAGGGATCCTGCCAGTTTCACACACAGCCAGCACTGGGACCGGTGACACACGGTCCTACACACCGCGCATCCCGGTTACAGCACACACGCATACACACATGCACATCTGGGTGGCTGCTGGGTCTCCCTCCCGCACCCTCCAACCCCACCCTGTCCAGGTGCCAGTGGGAGGAGGCCCTGCACATCTGCTGACTTCTAGTAGGTCTTTGGCCTCCCTGTGCCTCAGTGTCCCCATTCGGGCAAGGAACACACTGAGGGTCCGGCAGCACAAAGTGGAGCCCAGGCTCCTCATGGACGCTGCGCCCTTAACCCGGAGGGGCGCTGGGGACCCCTTTACCTGCGGGGCGGCCTCGGCCCGCCCGGCTGCCCGCTCCGCTCGGCGCAGGGAGGGTCCGGGCGCGCGCTCGCTCCGCCCTCCCGCCTTCCGGGCTGCGCGGGCACCTTCCGGGTCGCCGGGACGGGCCCTGCGTGGGGCGCTCCCGTCCTTCGCCGGCTCACACGCCGTCCGGATGGGTCCTGGGCACCGTCTCGGGCCCGGAGACCCCCATCCCGCGTTCGGGTGATGCCGCGGAGCGCGGCGCGCTGCTCCTGAGGCTTGCAGGGCAGAGGGGAGGCCCAGCCCCCGGGGCCACGCCGAGATCTGGGAGCCTGGGCCGGGGAGGAGGTAGAGGAGGGGGGCCAAGGGCAAGAGAGGGCAGGATGTGGTCACCGATCCGGCAAAGGCTTGTGTGCAGCAGGTCGGGGTTTGCTCCCCGGCACTGCGTGGGCCCCCAGCACCACCAGAGCAACCCCCCACCCCCACCCCGACTCCGCACCAGCAGTATTCCCCAAGCACTGATGAGTGAGGCCCAAAGGGAGGGGGAAAAAAAACGGGAAAGGGGAATAGGGAAATGCAGTAGAGGGTACTAGGACTTTAAAACCGTCTCAGATAATAATAATAATAATAATAACAACAATAATAAGGTCTTGGGGGACTTTCTCTAACTCTCCCCGTTAATCCCGACAGCAGTCCTGGTTGTCACCGCCAAAGGCACGGGCTCTGCCCAAGGACACCCCAGCTCTGAATGTCCTGGTGGAACGGAAATTTGGTGCCTCTGACTAGCTTCATTCTGTTGTTTCTGTTTCCCTTTAGCAGTCTCCATTATGAAAGAGCCCATCCCCCCACCCCCAAAGCGTTCACCGGGGCCCCACCCTGGCCAGGGCGAAGTGACCCCATCAGTTCTTAAATAGACAATTTTGCCTGAGTTTTAAGAACGAAACTAAGACGAGTCCAGCTGGGTGGAGGACTGACTGCAGGCGGACATCAGTCCCTTCCCCGGTGGCCAGCTCCCTCTGGTGGAACTTTGGAAAACTGGATCTCTTGACTCCTTACCCCCAGCTAAGCGGTAAGACGCTGGCATAGAGGGCAACTTGGGGGGTCTAGAAAAGTGAGCTTTAGAAGTAGTATAAACCTTCACCCCGAAAGCAGTCTGGGGCTTTGTTCCTCATGGAAGAGTCTTAGAATGCTTGCACGGCAGAAGCCCCTAAAAGACAAAGTGACCCTCTGCTCCCAAGGGCAACCGGGCCTCCTGCAGGGTCTCCTGAGAGCAAGATGGGGTGTGGTGACTGCAGTGACCCACCTGCAGCTCCTACTTTTCTCAGCCTCCATCTGCACTGAGTGGGTGGTGAAAGTCAATCTCTTTCTACCTCAGTTTCCTGTTTTGTGAAATAATTATAGTGCCTTCTTTAAGGTGTTCTGAAGATTAAAAAAAAAACAAGAAAGAAAGAAAAGACAATCAGCTAATCAGTGGCTGAATAAACAGCAGTACTCCTACATAAAAAAAAAAGGAAAAGAAATGAAAAGGAATCTAGATTCTTCTTTTTTACATCATAAGATTTGTTTGTCTGGTTTGGGGGTCCCATCCAGCAATGCTCAGGGGTTGTTCCAAGTGGCAGTCGGGAAACAGAACCTAATGTGGTAGGCAGATTGGTAGGGGGCCTGCTAATGTACTTTGGGGAAATAATAATAAAACTGAAGAAGATGTTTTCTATCCATGAAATAGCCCAAAGGCATGAAGTCGATATCCCTTTGACACATACAGATCCTAATTCTTTGGAAAAGAAAAATCGAGGCACTACCCAAATACAGAAGTCAGAGGACCCACCCAAAGAAGGGTGGACCTGTCAGGAAAGAAATTACAAAGGAGTCTATGAAATTATGAAGATAATCATCAACAGTGCAAGGAATGATATTGTAGAAGACCATCAACAATGCAAGGCTTTCCTGTGACAATGCCCAGATTAATTTTTTATGTATACAAAACTCAGAAAAAAAAAAAACCAGGAAGGGATACTGGGATCATTGGTGGTAGAGAATGGGCACTGGTGGAGGGATGGGTACTGGATCACTGTATGACTGAAATGTGATCATGAAAGTTTGTAAGTATGTAACTATACTCACTATGATTCATTAAAAAAAACATTTGGAGGAACTGTATGAAAGCTCTTCTGAAAACCATTCTTCAAGTTTATTCTTCAAGCTTATGTTCTCCCTTGAACATACATGCCACTTGTTTGTCTCTATGCTTCTTTGCTTATTTTCTCTCTGGAGAATTCCGTGATCTCTCTTAAACACATATTTCCCCTCTTTCTCTCCTCTCGTATTTTTTTTTGTTAAATCACTCCCACATCTTTCTAAGAAAGTTTTGTTCAATAAATCTACCTTGCTTCACTATTTTACCTCCTTCTGAAATTCCTTTCTGTGAAGGAAAAGCAATGAACCCAGAACACCAGTACCAAGGTTAGGACTGGTTTTCCTTTCCTGCAATACTTCCATACTCCCTGAAAAATCAGGTTGTGGGATCATTTCCCATGCTATGTAGAATCAGTGGAACTCAGGTGCAGCTTAACAACTGCCTCGTGGGGCTGGGTGAATGTGAGTGTCTGTGCTGTGAAGGTGCTCATGGCAGACTTTATCAGTCCTGATCCAAGCAGTATTTCCCTGAGCGTGGGTACCCAAGATGGTTTGGCAGAGAGGAGGCACTCTTTTCTTTCTTGTGCCTAACTTTATTGGGCAACCTACAAACGTACCTTCTACATGTAAACTATCTACTCAAGCCCTTTGAGATATCTTCCCAGCTGTCATATTTTTATTACTACCTATTAAAAGGTATTAACAGTCTAAAGTATAATTAATCAAAGGCAATAATATTATGTCTACCGTAGATTATTCCTGTTCACATCCTAAAAGTATGGGGCCTGAGCAATAGTAGGTAGTGTAGGGCTTGCCCAGCTGACCTGGATTCAGTCTCAGGAATTCTATATGGTCCCCTGAGCACCACCAGGAGTCATTCCTAAGTGCAGAGCCAGGAGTAAGCCCTGTATATTGCTGGGTGTGATCCCAAAACAAACATTCCAAGGTACGAAAATACCTTTGACATACCTCCAAAATCCAAAATGTGCGGCTCAATCAAGCAGATGAACTTTGTGACTAGGCAGTGGCTGGAATTATTTTGGTCACATCACGACTTTCAAACACCTATAAATAGGCAGGGCTCCAGGGGATAATAGCTCAGTGGTGAAACATCTGTCTTGTGAACATGAGACCAAGGGTGCCACTGCACACATCAGGCGTAGTCCTGGCTGTCTTGTGCCTATAACCCCCAGAGCCACGAGAGATTTCTGTCTGCATTACTACTAAAGGGTGCAAACGTTGGCGAGTACCACTGCCATACAGATGTGTGAGAACCACAGCCAGAATTTCAATGTCCCAGGGAGCACAGGTGTGAGTACTAGATATCAACTGATATCCAGAAAATGGTGCTCAAGCACCATAGCTAAAACAATGTTACCCCTGCAGACCATAACAACCAAATTTGCAAGTGTAATGTGTATGTGATCCCCAGTCATCATATCAACAGAGAGAAGAGAAGAGTTGGGGTAAGCCTTTACAATGCTCCCTGTTCCCTATAAACCCAAGAGTTTCCCTCTGTGCTAGATTGTGTTCATAGAGCAGCTGAGATAGAATTTAGCGGGTTCCTGAGAAAAGCACTTCACTTTTCCAAAGCTAAGTAATCCAGTTCCTAATTTGTATGGGTCTTTCTGGATAAACTCACCCATTCAGAACCAGGGTTGTGTGATTCATAGGCAGGGTGTACACACACACACACACACACACACACACACACACACACACACACACCTGCAACCTCTTCCTCTTAGCAAAAGCTTAGAGGGAAATTTGGTGTCATTGTAATGATTTCAGCCCAATTACATGTGGGCATGTGGGAACTTTGCTGCACTCACAAGAAATCCTCCTTTCCAGACCTCCAGTGCCATATAAGCTCATCTACTAGCCATGCTCCAGAGACTCATAAGTAAATCTCACAAGAGATCAACAAACTGTGAACAATTTTTTTCCAGACACCCATCTATGGCTGAGACATCGTGGGCACCCCAGAGGGGGATGGGCCCTGGGCTGGCCCATGAAAACAGAGCCCTGGCAGCCACTTGCTTCCACACTCTAAAATCACTGTCATGGCCCCAATAAAACTCTACTGTCTCAGGACTGGGCCTCATTCAGAAATTAATCTGCTGAAAATTTCAGGTATGCAGAGTTTGTGACTGAACTCTCCAGGCTTTCATGCAGTCAGGATGGGCTACTTTCTCCTACCTCCCTGTACTTCTGGAAGCCCAGTAGTCACACACACATACCCCAAAGCCTCCACCCAGTTAAAAATTTAACTCTAGCTGTATCACCCCATTAAAAATTTTGGACTTCCTGGAGCACATGGCCACAGACATCTCAAACTCTACCACACTGATATACTAGTAGAAACACACCAAATTGGATAGAATGTAACACAGAAGGCAACCAATATCAATTAACAAAATATAAACACAGAAAGCTTAACCTGTAATAACATTTTAGCAATCTCTTATACTTAATGTCTCCACGGTGAGATACAATTTACATTCTAAGAAAACATTTTGATAATTCTGTTAGCAAATTATTGATAGCAAATGTTTGATAACAAAAAATGTAAAATAAATTATTAAGGGCTGCAATAGGGGCAGGATTAAGTGGTGGTTGGGAAAATTGGAGACAATGGTGGAGGGAAGATGTAGTGATGGTGGTATGGGTGTTGGAATATTGAATGCCTGTAACAAATAAATCATCATGAACAACTTTGTAAACCACAGTGTTTATATAAAATATAGGGGAAAATTTACATAAGTAGGCCTTATCTATTCCATGTAAACTCCAAAATATGTTAACACAAAATTTCTTTGAAAGTTTATGATGGGGGGCCGGAGAGATAGTACAGTGGGTATGGCGTTTGCCTTGCACATGGCAGACCCGGGTTTGATCCCGGGCATCTTATATGGTCCCCTGTAGGATAACACTCTTTTGTCCTTCCTCAGGTAGCTTA